ACCGAAATGTAGTGATTGTTGATTGTTTTAAAATTCGTCCAATTTAGAAAGAGCAAAGAGAGTTTTTTGTAGTTGTGAGGATGTTTGATGATCAGTTCCTTTTCTTTTCATAACATCTTTAAACATGACAAGTCATGAGGAATTGTTCGGATTAACACCAGCTGAGTTTCACCATCGTACCACCCGCCTGAAAGTTTATGAAGATATTCAGTGGATTACATATATAGCAGTAAATATAATTTACTTTCGTTCCGATCACAGTTGCACGTTACATATAAACTGTTACTTAGCAACATTACTTATTTTAATTGTTATGCATTAGAGTTTTTCTTCTAAAATCAATGTGCCTAATACGGTCCCTTAATCCATTACATTTAAGACACTCTACATCTCTACATTTAAAAAACACATAATATAAAACAATATACAGAAGAGTAAACAATAGAACAATAGTAGCAAAACACATATCCAAAATTAAATCTGTTAAAATACTAATCACTGAACCTAACCTATATATACACTTTAGTGCTAGCTCATAACCTGATGGAGGTATTCAGTGGATTACATATATAGCAGTAAATATAATTTACTTTCGTTCCGATCACAGTTGCACGTTACATATAAACTGTTACTTAGCAACATTACTTATTTTAAATGTGATGGATTATACTTTTTCTTTTTAAATCAATGTGCCTAATAAAAATACCATCCTGATCATCTGGATGAATGGCGGTCCTCCACACGCACAACCACATTGTGGAATCACCTTCCAGCAATGGTATTTCCGAACCGATACGATATTGAAACCTTCAAGAAAAGAGCTTATCCCTTTTTAAAAGGCCGACAACGTACTTGCTATTTCCCTGGTGTTGGAGTGCTCATGGCCGGCAGTACTTACCATCATTATTGAGCCGCATGCTCGTTTGTCCCCTGTTATAAAAAAAAACTGTAGCCAAAATACGCTGTTACCGCGTGATGTTCTCATCACTAGTGTTATTAAAGTTTTTTTACAGATTTCACAACGCAAGTAACGGCATGCGATACTTTCCAATACCTAGTATTTATACGTCCAACCTGTATTCATACACTTAAAAACCCTTGTGGTTGAGCAATTTAGACATTGCTTTACTGTAATGGTCGCGGGTTTAATTCTTGATCTTCATTTCAGTTCACAGCCTCGGTAGTCTAAAACCGCATACCGTACTTCCGATGGTCGCAGGTTCGATTCCTTGCCCGGTACAAGCATTTGTAATCATGCGTATGATTGTTTGTATCGGTCTGGGTGTTTTCTATGTATATTTACAAAAATAATGTATTTAGCTATTTGTGTTAGTTAAGTTTAAGTCTAGTCTAACACAAACTTTGCTTAGCTTGCCTCTTATTAATTGTTTAACCAGTTTGTTATATATTCAATATTTTTCTATTTGAGTATTTAATTGAATTAGTGCTAATTGGTGGTTTGTATTCACACACTTCAACTTAAAAATGTAAAGTAATAATAAACTTATTTAAACGAGCAACACGCAAGTTTCTTGCTCGTTCTTCTTGTTATGAGACAGGTTTCCGAATGAGCGGTAGATTAAAAAAAATGTGATGACTATTCAAAAGTGCTTCAATGTAAGTTTATTTGAATAAATGATTTTCTATTCTATTCTAATCTTGGGATTAGATGGCGCTGTGTGAGTTGTCCTGAGATTATTTTTATTACTATACTCTGTGAGTTAATTATCAAAAATAATTTATTCATGTAGGACATTTTACCCGCTTATGAACTTCAAGATTTTTATAATAATATTTTTTCCTGTCGTCCAGTTCTGTACAGATTCAATTAAAGAATGACAAGAAAGTGAACTGGATATCTTTTTAAGTCAGTTTTATATAAGCTATTTAGCGATAAGGCCGCCCGATAAGATAAAGGTAATAATACCTCTATATTATTAATTATGTTGTTTTTATTTTTATATCTGATGTACTTATTAATTTATGTAATTCTTATATCTTCCTGTGAGAGGAGCAAAAAAAGTTTTTCATTCATTCATTTATTTATATTGTACAGTTATATAGGTATCTATGTATAACATTAAATGAAAATCCCGTGCATGAACAACTGTTATAATTTAATAATATTTATATTCTTGACTATAAGGTGAGGCTGCCGGGGAACACCATGAAAAGAAAAAAGATGTTTGAAGCCAGGTGGTTGGTTATTTATTTATTTATTTATTTATTTACATCGTATAAGTGCTTTACAGTTTCCCAATATGCCCACTTAGGAAGATAATATACAAATACACACAATTATAAACACTAATTACACAAGAAAAAAAAGAGAAAAAAAAAACAATAATAATATAATACCTAATCTCCATTTAACATACTACCGAAATAATCTACTGCCATCCTACGAAACTCCAGCATAATTAATAATATTTATATTCTGGAAAGCGACTAACTACACCGTTGAGTAGACTCAATGACAGAGAAGAGGAGCCTGTTTGGCCAGCTCCGTTCTTCTCCATTGAACATGAAATATAAGTTATAATAAAACTGAAGCCAATACCTCTCGTAATATAAATATGAGTATATGACTCGATAATAGATTTATTTTTCTGACTGATTATGCACTGGAATCACCAAGTTGCCAGCCAGATTCGAACTCCCGACCTTAAGCATCTAACAAACCTTTAGACAACAAGTTTTCCATTTTGGTCAGTAAGTAGTGATAGGACCGCCGTGCTCATATCACGACAGTGACGGTTGACTGCGCGGCGCGTGCTTGTAGGGGCACCATGCTTTGTGAGCATCGAAGACTGTCTTAAAAAAAATTGTAAAACAAAAGTTGAAAAAACCATGTGTAAGTTGTTATGGATGATAATGGAATGATGCATCATCCACCTGCGTTAATAGGTTACGCTGGCACCAGTGGAGGATGATTAGCTGAACATGAGGTCAGGTCAGTTAGCCCATCGTGATAAATTCACCAGGAATTTATCATGATGGTTTCCAGGGGGAACCGTGAGGAGTTCAACCTGACATGGTACATTGCCAGTAATGGTGAGGTCATGAGTCCACATTACTAACTATACTTTTCCCCCCTGTGTAAGAGGTTGAGACCTACCTTTTACGTGTACAGCGAAGAGTCTGAAAAAAAAAGAATACTCACTAGAATAAAAAAAAAAGTTAATTTTAAACTTTCGCGTTTAATATACATTATTTTCAACAGAGAGGATGGCTTAAAATTATCATCTGCGTGGAATCCAGTCATAAATAAATTCAAGCAAAGTTCAGTAGCATCAACAGTCGATAAGTGTACGGATACCGCGAGTGCTGTGTGTCGCGAACTTTCGTTGAACAATCTAGTGACGGTAGATGAAAAAACTGCTGTCACCTATCTACATTGACATCGCTGTTACTCCAGTCAGCTCGTGACCACGGCTAGTGCAATCTAGTCGAAAAGTCGAAAGAGATAAATACCTTTATTTGCCATAAAATTATTCTTGTTAAGACCCGGTTAATAATTTAAAAAAAAAATGTGTAAATGGTTAGAATTTAACTTTAATCGAAAACTGTCTTAAAAAATAATTAAACATATCAATAAAATTAAGAAAAAATATGTAAATAGTTGATACTTGTTGACTGGTAGAGAACGCCCTTAGGTGTTAAGTTCGCCATATGTACATTTATATATTGTATTTGTGCATTAAAGTTTAAATAAATAAATAAATTTACCTTTTAATGTGAACATCGTAAACCATTATAAAAGTAATGTTCATTTCACGGTACTCTAATGAAGTAGCAGCGCGCCAGCGAGGACCGTCCGGAGGACACCGACAATACCCGAACGGAGCCGACCGCCACTTGTGCACAGTACGGCGGCAATGATACACCTTATTTTATAATCTTGTAAAGAATCAGCAATTAAACTATTTATCATATCAACATTGGTATTATTGGAGCTGCTGAAGCTCCAACAGTAATGAAAAACATTCATAAAATAAAAAAAAACAATGAGTAGATGGGTCCTACACACTGTTTTTTATTGTGTAATTATAGATTCTTTTTTATTGGGTAATTTGGGCTATTGTCAGGTGTTAGAACTGTAGCACTGCGACCTACATAGATCTATTGTGCTCGCTCTTTTTCAGAGTACGCTACCTAGACCCGTCAGGGACAAGAATTGAAGGATATTTAGGAGCGATGGTTTTTATCTCCTCAGGATAGAGTGTACCGGGGTACGAAAGGTTTAGCTTAATAAGCTATGTTTTTGTACAGGAAGAAAACACTTAGACTGTTGAATGAACTGCCCAGATTTTCTCGAGAGACTACAGCATGGGGTTTTTCAAGAAAAGTTTCTTTCGGCAAAGCGTACGTGATACCCCTGGTGTTTCAGGTGTACATAGGCTACGGTAACCGTTTACCATCAGATGGGCCGTATACACGTTTGCCACCTGGTATATAAAAAAGTTAAATTTCATGACAAGAGCTATGATATCTTAGTCGTATGGAACGGCAACGCATGAGCGGTATTACGAGTATTTCATTCTTTTTTTTTATAGGTTGGGTAGGAAGGTAGGGAAAAAATAAAATTATAATGTAAAAATTTGACGTTCATAAGCGGCTAAAATGTCCAACAAGAATAAGTGATTTTTGAATTTTGATTTTTTTATTTATATATATATATTTATTACCGCACACTTTATTATACTAATAATATAACACCCTTTCTATATTTATAATTTTTCTAAACATCTATATTTTAAACAACAATTATATTTTAAAAAATATATATTAAACAAGGATAATGTACCCAAATATCAAACTGAATCTTGACCCTATTTCACACAAAATTATCAACAAATTGAAGACATCCGAGAAAAATGCCGTCATAGCGTTGTCACCCTACATGAATCCACTGCGCACACGCATGTATATAAACCCCAAGCGCCAGAGAAAACGTTTAGTATGATAACAAACGTGGAAGCGTTCAGACGTGTCGCTCTAAAATGTGCGCAGCGATCGATATGCTATCCTCGGAATTTTTCTTCGGCCACAGCCCACCTTCTGGCTTCCTCAACGACTACACACCTCCAATGAGACGCTCCACCACAATTATAACCAGAGGTTCACCACCATGCATTACATTATTAAAACCTGTTCAATTTACTCTAAAATCCGCAACACGATCTTGCATAAGGTTGCACACGGAAAAGTTAAAGAAGAAAGTTGTGTTTGCAGACGATAGAGGTTTAGCTTTGGAACAGGTTAAAGTTATGACGGAGCCGTCTCACGTGCCACCTTATTGGACTCTAAAAGTGCTGGAAAGTCCAGACTTGGAGAGGAAACCGCCGCCTCAAGTCGTCGACATATGGGAGAAAAGGTTTAACCAACCAGCATCTGATTACGTCGAGTTCCGCAGAAGAATAACAGAAGACTGTGTATCATTAGAGAATGTGATTATAAAACAAGAAGAATGCGCTGTAGACGGTACAGTCAAAGTGAGAAATCTAGACTTTATTAAAGAAGTATTTGTTAGACTAACTTCCGACGGTTGGGCCACGAACGAGGATGCGTACTGCGCGTTTGTAGAGTCGGGACCTTTGAGCCAAAATGGGTCTTCTTTGTATGACACCTTTAAGTTCAGATTGCAATTGCCTGTCCATTCGAGAAGACTGGATTTCTGTGTGTGCTTCAGTTGCAAAGGCGTCCAATACTGGGACAATAATAGAGGGTTAAATTACACGATAGAAAAGTCGTCAGCAAGAAGCGTGCCGGGAAATGCTTGCGCGAGAATTAATTACGGGAACTCGTGGTCTTCAAGGTCTGATCTCAATGGAAACACGCCATATTGGTGAAGTTGTTAAGGTTCAAATTGGTGCAGTTTTCGATCGTGTACGAATGTGAATCATTGCCTTTATCAGTGCTACACATTATCGTGTAATCCGAGATAGTAGTGCCATGTGTTCGTGCCAGATTGGCGAATGCTATTGGATGAATTGTAACCGGCCATCTTGTAAGTTGTCTATGTACAGTGATTCTATTCATTTCACTCTGATATATGGAGATAATATATTTATTCTTTGCACACAAAAATGTACACATGTTGGACTTAATGCCTGATGGCATTCTCTACCAGTCAACAGTCGCGTTGATCAGAGATAATAAGGCGGTGCACTCTAATAATTAATTGAAAGAAAAAAACAAAACAAAAATTATAATAAATAGATACAGAAAAAGAATACATATGCAAATATATAAAAATACTAATATTCCAATATTAAATATATAATTAATACGGAGATAATGGAGAGATGGAGAGAGGAACAATAGAGTTTCATTCATTCATTCATTCATTCATTCATAATGGTTTTAATTTAAACAATAATAAAGATAGCTACGGGTAGTTATGTATTTTATTGTACATATTTATAAAATACATTTTATAGTCGTGGTTTGGTAGTCGAACAGTCAAGACTAGGCTTCGAGCTATATCCCAACTCTATTCAATGCCTGGTGATGATGTTCAGAGGTGAAACAGATACAGTCTATTTTATATATGTAACTAGCTAGTCGCCCCGGCTTTGCACGGGTCTATCTATATCTATCTATTAAAAAAATCGCATCAAAATCCGTTGGGTAGTTTTAAAGATTTAAGCATATATAGGGACGGACAGACAGCAACAGCGACTTTATTTTATACTATGTAACTAGCTACTTGCCCCGGCTTTGCACGGGTGTGAAAGTATTATATATATAAACCTACCTCTTGAATCTCTCTATCTATTAAAAAAAATCGCATCAAAATCCGTTGCGTAGTTTTAAAGATTTAAGCATACATAGGGACGGACGAAAGCGACTTTGTTTTATACTATGTAATGAAGTATATCATAGTACAGTTATCTAAGTATAAGTACATATATTTACATTCCTAGTTATCTTTATTGACCTGATGAAATGATTATGATTCAGTTTTAGGAAATTGTATATTCTGTAATATTATCCTCTCTACTGATGTCGATATAATAATAATAATAATAACCTCAGGACAATTCACACATCGCCATCTAGACCCAAGTTAAGCTAGCTAAAGCTTGTGTTATGGGTACTAGACAACTGATACAAATACATATAAATGTATTTTTTTCGTAAATACATACATATTATGCATAGAAAACACCCAGACCGATACAAACAATCATACTCATGAATACAAATGTTTGTGCCGAGCGAGGAATCGAACCCGCGACCATCGGACGTAAAGCGGTGTGCTAGACCGCTGGACCACCGAGGCCGTTGTAATATAATTACAATGGTAATTAATAAGTAATTACATTTGTAATTGTAATTTTACATTTGTATTTGTAATGTGTAAATGGATGTGACTAATTTGGAAAAAAATACACCTACTCCATACTGAATAAAAGTAATTAATTAATATACTACTGGCATGCCCCTGCTATGCTTAGGAATAGAATAGAAAATCATTTATTCAAATAAACTTAATTTAAGCACTTTTGAATAGTCATAACAATTTTTTTTATCACCACACCACACGTTCGGAAAGGTGTCATCACAAGAACGAGCAAGAAACTTGCGTGTTGCTCTTTTAAATAATCATTGTAACTTTACATTTTTAAGTTAAATTAAGTGAATACAAACTACCAACCAGGGGTCAAATATACATTCAATCAAGAAGAACGAGCAAGAGTATGACGGATTGTAGGTGTTCATAACTTTGCGAGTTACTCTTTAATGCATTTGTAGCTATAATATAAGATTTTAAATACATATATAAATTAGATGATTTTTGTATCCTAACTCATGTTACAAGTCGAAACGTGTGAATACAATCTACCAACCAGCTAATTTATAAACGGGATCAAATATACAATAAGTTATTCCTTATTTCAATCAGTCGTAGCCATTGATAAGATAAGACCAGTATATATATTCAATATTACAAACATTCATTCAAGCAGCTCCCGCCACCTTCGTTCACAGTCCTTTTATGACGGATTGATATAGCTGTGGTCTCTTTTCTATTTTTCCTTCAATATTGTTGTTAATTAGTTCGTCGTGTCGTATCAAGTGCCCCAACATGTTTCCCCTCCTATTCTCAATAATATCTATGATCTGTCTCTTTTCTTTAATCCTCTCAAGCACTTCTTCATGTTTTATATGTTATTTTGCATTTAACAAGAGAGAAAGCTATAATATAAGATTTTAAATACATATATAAATTAGATGATTTTTGTATCCTAACTCATGTTACAAAGCAAGCTGCTTGATGGCTGAAATTGGTGAGACTGTAGAGCACTTTTTAGTCTACTTTTAATAACTACACTATTTGTGACATTTGATTATCATTTTCTGAAACAAGATAAGAGAAATGTAATAACTTTCCTGGTACATAATATACATTCTAGTCACAAATACATAAAAAATTATGTCTTTAATAATCCATACTCAATCAATTTTACAAAAGTGCTTTAATATATTTTGATCATTAGATAGAGTGATTCAAGAGGAAGGTTTATATATAGAATTTTTCTTAATAAATTATACTGCTGTGAAAAGTGGTGCCATTATCATGTCAGGCACATACCTTCGTACATAATTGAAAGATCCTAATATTTGTCTCAACTCATCTCTATTACTTGGTTCTTTTAAATTAACTAATGACTCAACTCTATCCTGATGGAATTTAATTTTAAACCTCTCGAAATTTTTTTTTTCTAAAATTTTTAAAATCTTTTTCAGTGTTTCCCATTCTAAAATAATCGCCCAAATAAAAATTCTGAAAAAAATAAGTACAGTAGCATTCATTAAACCATATGGTAAAACAAGTTATTCCTTATTACAGCAGCTAAAACAGAGAAAAATACCCTGTAATTTAAAAAAAAAGGTAAACATTTAGGTTTTTTTACAATAATTTTATTTAAGTCTAATGGATCAAAATCGGTCCAACCATTACAGCTTCTCTACTATTACCAGATATATGCATTTTCACTAATATTATTAACTTTAACAATTGAACAAACATACCGGCAGACAGACATTCCTTCAAAAATAACAAAATTATAAAAAATGTTATTTTTTGGTGTATGTACCGTATATATATTCACATTGGCTTAATATTTTCTGAATGTAGAATTTTACAATTTAACTTATAATTTAATTTAAAAAACGCAGAATTCAATATTACAAACATTCACTCTTCATTCATGACAAATTTAACTCTTCATTTGATGAATTTGATTTATTGCTCTTATTTTCTTCGTCGCTCACTGCGAAGGATTTAATATACCACATTTTGCACATTTTTTCCCATATGCAGGACACTCTCTCGACCATGCTGACTTCAATCAAATTTATTATTTATATTTCTTTGAAACTTCTTCTCAGTTCTTTTATTTCCATAACTCTTTATCTTCCATCAGTCCTTTTAGCTGTTGATACGTCCAACACGACTCCTTGTAATTGTTTTTCTTTAACCTGCTTGACTCTATATAAGCAATTTGTGTCTTAAATTAGTGTAAAAACTTTCAAAATTTTCCCTTCCAATTGTTTTCTTTCTCTTTCCAAAAATCTATTTTTCCAATTTCAATATTGTTTTCACTATCTTCCTTTGATTGTTAATTAGATAATTTAATTTGGTCGTCGTGTCGTCCATTCAGTTGCTGCCCAACATGTTTCCCCGCCTATTCCATGTTAATATCTTTAATCCGTGTGTAAGCTCTTTGATATCGTTTAATACACTGTTTAGACTAAATACCACTCAAGCACTTTCTTCAGATAATTCCATTAATAGATTAATCAACATCACACATTGACATTGACATTGACTTTGACATACTTCACTTCATTCCTTATTTTATTTTTCCAGCTAATTCTTTCCATTCTTCTCCAACAGCACATTTCAAAGGCTTCCAGTTTGTCTCTTTCCTTATGTGTCAATGTCCACGTCTCACAGGCATACAAGGCTATACTTCAGATTTTTTTTTTTTTTTAATTTCTTTTTAAATTTAGGGACTTTTGTACCATCTAAGTACATGTCAGTCCCATTGTACCCTAAAACCTATACTTCAGATGTAGGAATATTACTAGCAAACACTCCAATTATATTTATATATATAGATATATTTAGACTCGTGCGAAGCCGGGGCAGGAATCTACTACGAGATAAAGAAGAATTAATTGACGTCTATAAATTTAATTTTAAAACATGTTTGAAATATTATAATTTATGCTCGGATATTAAAAAATAATTTTATTTTTATATCTAATTTATAATTCATTAATATGAGAATATTTTGAATATCAAATTCGTATTTAAGTAAATTGTGCGGGAAAATGTCACGGCGACGTGTTAAACATTATAAAACAAATGTAACATAGTTTCCTGTGCGTTTTTTTTTTAATAAGACTGATATTTCCGGTACTAATGAGTGTATTGAAAACGTAGTGATTATTTTCTCTATTTTTAACTGTAAACTCAATATTGGCTTGCGTCTTGCGTTGTATTTAGAGAGGTCTAATGGTTTCTCCATTTTTACAAAATTAAAATAAATTAATACAAGTTTTATGGAATAATGGACTCTATAAATCTTGTATTAGTTTATTTTATACTGTGCAACCATACATTTTAGCACACACACACACTGGTTTGCAAGTAATTACAGATTCCTTGCAAAATATGCCGATGTTGTTATGACAGTTTTATGTACGAAATATTTTGTTGTAGTAACTTGACCCTGGTTTTAAAAAGAAAAAACACTTTCACGTTTTCTACTTTTTACGTTGTGTTAATTGCTCTGTGTTCTTAATTCAAAATGGCTTCCCGTTTGTCTATACTTTTTTTATTTCTAATAATTAATTGCTAATGTTAACGGTATATTAGTCATACTGCCCATAAATATAACATTTAAATGTGTAACATCGTAATTTGCGTATAGTTTTTTTGAGGAACTGGCTCATTGCCACATATTTTCTCTGTTGCATATAGGGTTGCCAACCACACTTTATAATAATGTATCCTAATTTATTTTTGGTAATTATAATTTATACTTTTACATACAAATAAAGTATGCAAAAATATTTTATTTTCAACCTTTACTGTGATACGTAAATACTCATTAAGAGTACTTGACGATTTATAATTACTGAACGAAATGTTAGATGTCAATTGTGAGTTGTGACATTTGTCACAGATCTAGTGTTAAAAGCACACAAAAATACGTTTTTAATGTCTGATACTCTGTGGAAACTCTGTAGATATTGTGAAAGTTTTTAGATTTCAAAAGAAGTGCATTCGACCGATATGTAAAGCGTGGTGCGATGATAGTTGCAGGTCTCTATTTCGACAATTAAATATTTTACCACTTCGATGCATGTATATAAATTTTTTATACCACTTAGTTGGCAAATTGACGTGTGTTTTTGTAAATTCTCATCCACAATTCTGGAAGAAATGTGATGAATTAAATCAGAGGTAAACCAGACCAAGAATCATGAATAAATTATATCAACCTCAATGCCATAAAGATATTTACAGGAGAAATATATTAAACATGTTTGTCTCTCTTTACAATAATTTGTCTGACAATATAAAATTATTGAATGAGCCAGCTTTCAAACTAAATTTAACCAAATGGCTATTGGCACATTGTTTTTATAGTGTCAAAGAGTTTATGGAATATAGTAATTTAATGCATCATCTGTAGTAATTATATAATATGCCAATAATTCTGACATGTTTATTTTAATTTAATTATAAACTAATCAGAATGACATAAATATATTAATATAAAATATATATATATATATAAATTTGCACGCCTGTATACAGGCAGAATCCACTGGACATTATATTTAATATTGTATACACATATAAGTACTGTATTCTGCGAATACATGATTTGATTGATTGATTATAGTAAAAACAGAATAATTGAAATATACTTTTTTTTCCTAATACTTTTTTTTTCTTATCCAAAC